GTATTTATCAAAATATATTTTAATTTATAATTTGATAAACCAATTTGTTTAAAATAGGTTTTAAATTTGCCAAATTAAAAAATTTCCTTACTTCAAATGTTATGAAAAAAATGAATTTCGTCTTCTGTAAAATTGTTCTTCATGTATAATAGGCATACCACTCAAATTACATATTATATTATCTATCGTTTCGCCAACGAAAGTATAGCAATACAAGCAACCAATCAAAATACCCCCAAGATGCCCGATAAACGAAGATTGTGGTACCAAAAGATGAATTAAGACCAATTCCACCCAAACAGCAATTTTACTGGGTATTCTAAAACCACCAATATCATGAATTCTATCCTGTTCCTCACAAATTACAATTACCTTTAATGCAAACAAGACTGCAGAAAATCCGATAGCACACTGAGTGTAGTATGCGTAATCTCCTGTTAATTGCATTAAGGTATAGCCTAAGCTCGCATACATAGCACTACATCCAAGTGTAAGAATGCTCAATAAAAAAATAAAATTCATTGTTCCGTACATAGGTTCTAAATAGGCGCCTTTTAAGATTAAAGATACCATATTGTAGTATAAGTGCATATCAGAACCATGTTCAAAACTAGACACTATAAAAGACTTCCAATTTCGATGCTTGAATACTTTTAACGCGGATATGCATACTTCCTCCGCATTCCAAGGAACTTTTATTACACCAACATATAATAAAACCTGTCAAAAAAAAATGTATTTCCTATATTTTTTTATCATTATAATGTGTTTATTGTTGTTGCATTTAAGATAGAAAAGCAGATAAAATTTAATTCAACATTGACTTAGTTTAGCGACTATATGAAATTAGAGAAAATACTTACTTGACCAAGAATCGTAACCAAAGTAGCTGGTGGAATTTTATCAATGCCGAAATTGAGAGCTTGCATACCGAGCAAATAAATACCGTATTGAAAGCCCTGTTGCCTTCTCTGAACAGGCCTCATGATTGTTTGACTATGATTAAGATTTCATCGGTAAACTTCACAACGAAGCACTCAAATTCTAATACATCTCACGCTACATTGGAAAATAATAGGTTAAGTGAATGAAAAGTTAAATATGCAAAGCAGATTATTATAAAGAGTAATTAACTTACATGAACGCGTTTTGCTGTTTTTAGTTACCAATCATCAACTTCTAACACAATTGATCATTTCAATAAAATACATTTATTGAAATGAGAAACGTCATCTCGTTTCATAACCGCAGTAAACATTGCTACATGCTGCATGCTTCCAACTTCCAACCAATCCTGTGCGACCACGTGTGTTATATATACGTATGGTGGTGTTCATACATACATATCTTACCCAAAATGTGATTATGTGTGGGAGTCAGAAATTTGAAACTATGTATCTGTACAGTACACGTATGTACAATAGTTTCTTCCATTTTTTCTCATTAAATGTCGAGTATGTAAATATGTTCGAAAAATTCGTACGTAGAATGAAGTTCTAATTTAACTTTTACCCCCTTCGAGTATACTGTAAATAGTGTAAGTGTATAGAATCCGCATTTGAATAATAAAAGTATGAAGACTGCCAAGTCGCACATTACCTAATTGAATTGAGTCTAAAAATTTTTATTTATAAAATAAATATACAAATTACATAAAATTTAAAAGATCGCCTTTGTGTATTAAATTATAAAATTAATAAATAGCAAAGAGTAATATTTTGGAACGTATGTAAATATATATAGACATATACGATATACTCTCGCATGACTTGTGGTATACGATATATATGTATATATCTTCACAATCGTTGAATAATTGCTTTTTACAAATTAGTGTCTAGACGAGGGATGAAATGAAAGTTGTTAATAAATAGATAGTAAGTGTCGTAAATAGAGGACGGTTCAGAAGGCTCAGCTTGAGAAACCAGGATTAGTATGCTCTATAATGCATCTACGGCAATAACGTTTCACCGCCCGGTATCCGACCCATGTAACTCTAGGACATTCGCCGATGTTCAGTTGTCTCAATCCTCGTACATAGTAGGATAACGCTTCCAAACCAGCATCTGAGACTCGCTCGCAACCACATAGAGATAGTTTCTTCAAATTTGGACATCCGGTCGAGAGAGCCTCGAGGGTCGCATCACCAATATCGCATTTTCCTATGTCAAGAGCTCTTAACCGGGGACATCCACGGGCCAAAGCCAACGTAGCACTGTCGCTGAGTGCTTCACAGCCACGAGCATTCAAATATCTTAATTTGTAACAATGCCTGGCTACGACCAAAAGACCAGCATCGGACACGCGATCGCATTTGCCTACCGAAAAATAACGCAAGGACGGACCAAGGCGGGCTGCCAATTCACGTACTCCGAAATCTGTAATCTTCACACAGTCGGAAACAGACAACTGTCTTAGACTGGCGCAATAGGAAGAAATCGCGATAAGACTGGCATCAGTTATACGCGCGCATCGTCGTAGATACAAGCATCCGAGATGCGGCATACGTGAGAGTGTCAGTACCAAGCCAGAATCTTCGACCCCATGACAATCGCTGAGATCCAACGACTGCAGCTTTAGTGTTGTTATTCGGCTGCATGCACCAGACACCCCAACGCATCCCGTCAAGTCCAATTCTTTCAGATTTATACAATTGTCTAATACAGCGCTCACATTCGAGTCTGTGACGCGTCTGGAATGCCGCAGTACCAAGGAAGTTAAACTTAAAAAAGGCAGCTGAGTGAAAATACCAGCCAGGCCAACAGCACCTTCGAGCACAAGACGCCGTATGCATGCATGACATCCTCGTCTAGACAGTGCATTTAATGCAAGAGTTGCATTCTGGGGATATCGTATTTCTACTTCTTTCCAGAGTGATGGATCCCACGCTATTTCCCAAAGACGTCTGCAGGTTTGGGCAATGGAGCAGAGATCTCTAGTACCCAGCCAACTGAATATTCTTAATAATAAGGTGTCATCTAGCTGACACAAATCAGCAGTGTACACGCATTTCTGTTGCAACAAAGTTTGCTGCCTAATAGGAACCGATATAGCAGTGGATAATGATGTAGATCGGCAGGCATTATTGTCCAGTGTATGATATCCTAAGTCAATTGCATCCGAGGGTGGTCTGTACAGGCCCACTTTTTGCAACGAGTATATAGCTTCCCTCTCAGAGCCGCCTTTTTCCCCAAAGGATGGAAGGAGTAATGGACACGATCCATCCATTCCATGCTCTGTTCTAAATTGAAAGAAGTTAGTATTATTTTCATTTTTATTTGATTTATACGACACACTAAATTAATAATTTTGCCTGCGCGTCAAAATTGTAAGATAAAATATGCAAGAAATGAAAATAATTTAAAAAAAATGCAAATTGAGAAATAGGACTTAAATTTCGCGGGCATACCGATAATTAATAGATCGATATTCTATATTAGTGAATAAAATAATATCGTCTTTTATGTAAAATAAATGTTCATAAATGGTTACTTACTCATGTGCGACAAATAGAAGAATTATCAACAATACGTGACATTGCAGGCCAATATCGATCTATCTGCCACTGCCACCATTTTGATCTTACATTCCAATTCTTAAAGCAGCTAATATCCAGCGATTTCTTCTCCTCAAATTAAAACATATTGTTTTCTGATACATCGATTAATATGCATATTCCAGATTAAGTTGCTTATGTACACAGAACGATAAATTGAAGTGAAAGTATAAAATTTGATAGACAATATAAAGGCTCAATACAATCGATAAATCCCCACTTTAAATGGGTCCGCTTTAAGCCAATCTTCATGTAGCGAGAAAATGAATTTTCTGATTTTACAATATAATTTAACAAATTCAAATTATGCTTTCTGTCGATATTATTTATAATAAACAATAATTACACATTATTACTTACATTTCTCATGCCTTTTTCTAAATATGACAAAACTATTCGATTACGAATAGTAATCGTACATATGTACAGTGATACATATCTCGCTTCGTTAACGAGAATAAGGGTAGAAATTGCTTTCCTTTGATTGGCTGACAATTCACAGCTATACAGTATTATCCTTGCAGTCGGAGACAAAAAGGAAAGTGAGCAAGAAAGCATATCAACACGATTCATGTGAAACAACTTACATTTTACATATAGTGTAAAGTTTACACTGATGAAAGATGTAGAGTATCTCACTTTACTGTGTTTGCGGTCTCTCTCTCTCTCTTTTCGCTCGGTCATAAGGACTTTCAGAACTTGGCCCTTCTTGTCTAACCACTGCCTAACGCAAAAGAAGGAGAAATGAACTAGGAGTGGAGAATGTCGCATCGCGTTGCTCTCGGGGGCTCCTACTCTTTTTCTCTTTCCTTTGTAGATAAAAAAATGACAGATAAGTTCTGAAAGTTCTTACGACTATGGTCCATGGTCTCCACTGACAAGAATCATTTATACTCGATTACAAGATATATACATAATACATTCAAAGCTTTCCCGTTAAAATTTTTTAATGTTAGAGTTTGATACAGTGCTCTACGAATCAAATAATGTCGTACTTTTGGATGAACCAGTTCTATCTTTACATATGCATGTATGCATGTGCATAATTGTAAATTTGCCTTAATCATATTTTGCTTCCTTTCAGAATAGGTGGAATATAGGTTAGTTGGCTAGAATAGGAACGTTAAATAAAAGAATTGTTCGAGAAATAAAAAAGAAAAACGATTTTATAAGTTATACGTTATTCGAAAAAGATGGCTAACACGTTATCTAATGTACCTGTGTCAAAAATTATAAAGAATACAAGTAATTTCGAAGATGAGCCAAGGAAAAAAAGTAGAGAGGATTGGCGAAAAGCAAAGGAATTAGAAGAAGCAAGAAAAGCTGGTACAGCACCAGCTGCAGTAGATGAAGAAGGAAAAGATATTAATCCACACATTCCACAGTATATTAGTGCTACACCGTGGTATTTTGGAGCACAGGTATATATATGTGTACTAATTCTATCGATAATTTTATATTGAAATATACCTTTCACAATTAACATTTCCTTAAAAATCTGTTTCAAGGGTCCTACTTTAAAACATCAAAGACCACAACCAGAGAAACAGAAGAAATTTAGTGGAATAGATGAATGGTACAATCGAGGTGTAGATTCTTCTAAACTAATAACCAAATTCCGCAAAGGAGCCTGTGAAAACTGTGGTGCTATGACTCATAAAAGAAAGGAATGTATGGAACGTCCACGTAAAATTGGAGCAAAATATACAAATGCAAATATTGCACCAGATGAGTTTGGGCAGCCTGAATTATCTATGGATTACGATGGTAAAAGAGATAGGTAATCTAACTGCTTCCTTTCTACTTTTTCAAGAATAAAACAAATACTAATTTGTATTTATTATCTTACTTCTCATAGGTGGGCTGGTTATGATCCCTCAGAGCATAGAGCCATTGTTGAAGAATACCAAAAAATTGAAGAAGCGAAAAGACAAATGCGTGCAGAGAAGCTAAATGCAGAAGAAACTGATGAACAAGATTCAGATAAAGACGAAGATAAATATGTAGACGAAGTTGATATGCCAGGAACGAAAGTAGATTCTAAACAACGTATTACTGTTAGAAATCTGAGAATTAGAGAAGATACAGCAAAATATCTTCGAAATTTGGATCCAAATTCGGCGTACTATGATCCTAAAACAAGATCTATGCGCGATAATCCTTATGCTGGCACAGAAAGAGAGTATGTATCTCTGTTCCATAAATTTTATATGTTTCAAAATGATTTTCCTAACGAAAGGACCACCTAAATACGTATAACATTTCATTACAGAGTGGATTATAAGGGCGAAAACTTCGTACGTTTCTCTGGAGATACACAATGTCATGCTAACGCTCAGTTATTCGCATGGGAAGCCCATGAGAGGGGTGTCGATGTCCACCTACTTGCTGAACCTACGAAATTGGAATTACTCAAACAGGAGTATGATAAAAAACGCGACGAACTAAAAGACAAAGCTCGAGACTCTATAATCAGTACATATGGTGGTGAAGAGCATCTTGATACTCTACCACCTTCTCTTTTATTAGCACAAACGGAACAATACGTAGAATATTCTAGATATGGAAAAGTATGTAAATTGACAATATTAGATAATACTTTACTTGTGTAATTTGTAAGAATTTTCACATATTTTACATGAATTTACAGATCATCAAAGGACAGGATAGACAAGTGATTCGTTCCAAATATGAAGAAGATGTCTATCCGAATAATCATACGTCTGTGTGGGGTTCTTACTGGCATGCTGGTAAATGGGGATACAAATGTTGCCATTCGTTCATTAAGAATTCCTATTGCACAGGAGAAGCCGGCAAAAGGGCATTTGATGCCAAAGTTATGGAAAACAAAAGAACAATGGAAGAAGAAAATTCCAATGATGAAAAGGAAGATACACCCAATGAAAAATCATCGAGTAGTGATAGCTCATCTGATGAAGAAGAAAAAAAATCGAAAACAATCAAGAAATCCAAATCCTCTAAGAAAAAAGATAAAAAGCGCAAACAGAAGGAACGAAAACAGAAAGAAAAGAAGGCGAAGAAGGAAGAAGGAGACAAGTTGCACCAAGCACTGCAAAGAGAAAAGGATAATAAAAAAAGAGCAGAGAAACTGTTGGAGATGGATGAAAGGAAGCGTCCATATAATAGCATGTATGAAATACAAGAACCAACAGCAGAAGAAATAGAAGCATTCCAAATGAAGCGACAACGCGAGGATGATCCTATGGCAGAGTTTCTTAACAAATGAATAATAAAAACAAATTTTTAATCTAATTCTAAGTCTACTTTGTATTATAATTGTACATATCAATTAAATCATGCTTTAAGTTATTTGATTGTAGAGAACCATTTATTAACTCTATTCATATATCTGTTGGACTAGATATGTATCAGGTTGGAAGTGAAAAATATTAATTTTATTTCTTTAATAATAATTTATTTAACAATATTTGTATATTATAAGCGCATGATGTTCGTATTTAAATATTTCTTTCGATTATTTTCGCGGAAACGGAAAAATATATTGCACACTAAACTTTCCTTATACATATAGTGTCCACGACTAGATTAAAGTTATTCTTCGACGCAATTGGATATTTAAATTATTGTTAGATGTCTGACATACAAATATATACTGATTTCATCAATTAAAACGGTCGGTTGGTAATTTTCAAAAATACTCACCAGATGGCAATATGAAAATAATTGAAGCGAGGGCACTACAGTCGCGGATCTACAATATTGGTGACCAAGTTGTCTAGATATCGTATCTTTTCAGGGAAACACACGCGTACCTTCTCCGGTATGTATGGATATACTACATAGATGCGCCTGCATTCACACTTTTGTATGTTTATACATGTGTGCGTGTCTATATATATCGCACCTAATGCTCTCCGAACAAATTATGGCATTGTCTCTTATCAGGTCTAAGAGTCTACAATACGGTAATTCGCAGTTACGTTTCTTATCCTGCATCGCGACCATGAAGGTAATTAGAAAAATACTATTCGTTTACACATTGGAAAATAAATTTTCGGATGTTTTTGATCGAAAAATCGTTTATATTTTTGCTGTATACAACGAAGTAACGAGGTGAAAAATTTTTGTCAGACTGTCGTGAAAATTTTCGGAAGAGAAAGGAGAGGAATATTTAACCACGTTGTGCAAAATATGAACAAGTTCTTCTAAGAAACATTGAATATCTTTTAATATTTGAGTTTTTCCATTCAGTAGTTTTACTAAAATTAGTTTTCATAAAACTATGGTTCGAATACATTGTAACATACTTAATGAAAGATTATCTACGTTCCATTTTTATTCGTGATATTTCAATTCCCAACAGAAAGGTTTGGTACTTGGTGTATACGATTCAGAAGATGAAAGCAAGATTTCATTGACACCTACGGCGGCTAAATACGATGAACTAGTTAATGGAAAACTACAAAAGAATATCCTATTGTAAGTCCCAGTAATATGTTCTTGTAACCTATAACATATGTATTTTGTAATTTCATTGTGTCACTCGGAATACCAGTTTACGTAGAAGTCTGTGTTCACTTTGCTAAATTAATTGTTTTCTCTTGTGCAATATGCGATACTGATATTATGTGTCTACATTTATATATGTCTATTTTATTTTATTTTATTTATATGTATATATATATATATATATATATATATATATATATATATATATATACATATAAATATATAAATATAAATATAAATATTATGTACAAACAAGTTACCCGAGTGAACTATGGACAAACAAGTTGTACATAACAGATATAGCACAAAATTGTGTACTTCGCACAGTGCATATAGTTTTGTACATGTTGTTTTTGCATTTTCCTTTGAGATTATGAGAATTAACATTAAACAGTGTTTAAATGTTTTATTGATAGTTCCAGCCTGAAACAATTGTCATAATGCTGCCTGAGCTTTACATATAATATTCAGAATTGCTTTTCCTTTGTTATTTTTTATAAAACTTTTACATAAATTATTTTTTCTATTAACAAAATTCTTGAATTCGAGTGAAAAATTATCTTCCATATGAGCTCACTGGCATTATTTTCATTATTTCAGGAGTGACTAGACTGAGAGATGGTATTGTACGCATGATATGAAGCAAAAACTCGCTGCACAGAAGGAGTTGCCAGATCGCATATTTTATTATATAAAGAAACATTTGAAAGCGTATTATTTAGGGGATAATAATTTCTTTTTAAACTGGTTTTCAGTTAAAAATAATTTATTATTTGATGACTGAATTAAGCTTTGAGTAGTATGAAATTTGAAATAGTTCTTTAAAATTTAGCCATATATTAAGAGGTATTTAGATAAAGAGAATGTCGACTATCAGTGATAATAATTTGGGAAATGATAACACTGCTGGAAGCAGTGGGACAGGTGGAGATTGTAATAGTAGATTAAGTAAACAGCATTATTCCACAAATGTTCTTCATAGGATTAGTGGTACACTCGAAGATAAAAATAATGATTATCTGTGCCCTATTTGTTTTGAGGTTATCGATGAAGCTCATATCACACGTTGTGGTCATACATTTTGTTATCGTTGTATAGTGAAATCTCTAGAAGCCAATGGGCGTTGTCCCAAATGCAGTTATACGTTAACACAACAAGATATTTTCCCAAACTTTTTGTTACATGAATTAATATCAAAATATAAGACTAGAATTAAGGGTCTTAGTGAGCTAGGATCTTCTTATGCAACTGATGGTAGGCACAGAGGTATAGGTACAGATTTATGTTTACCACCCTATGACGGATTGAAAGACATTGTAGCAGCTGAAAGTGCTAATTTAACATTACCTGATATAAACGTAATGTTAGAAGTATTAACACAAAAAAAACATTTGCTTGAAGCAGAAACTTGTGCAGCACAAAATAAGTTATTGCATGAGTTTTTGAAGCATTTATTGCAACAAAAGGAAGAACAAAAAAATCAGTNATATATATATACATATAAATATATAAATATAAATATATATGTTATGTACAAACAAGTTACCCGAGTGAACTATGGACAAACAAGTTGTACATAACAGATATAGCACAAAATTGTGTACTTCGCACAGTGCATATAGTTTTGTACATGTTGTTTTTGCATTTTCCTTTGAGATTATGAGAATTAACATTAAACAGTGTTTAAATGTTTTATTGATAGTTCCAGCCTGAAACAATTGTCATAATGCTGCCTGAGCTTTACATATAATATTCAGAATTGCTTTTCCTTTGTTATTTTTTATAAAACTTTTACATAAATTATTTTTTCTATTAACAAAATTCTTGAATTCGAGTGAAAAATTATCTTCCATATGAGCTCACTGGCATTATTTTCATTATTTCAGGAGTGACTAGACTGAGAGATGGTATTGTACGCATGATATGAAGCAAAAACTCGCTGCACAGAAGGAGTTGCCAGATCGCATATTTTATTATATAAAGAAACATTTGAAAGCGTATTATTTAGGGGATAATAATTTCTTTTTAAACTGGTTTTCAGTTAAAAATAATTTATTATTTGATGACTGAATTAAGCTTTGAGTAGTATGAAATTTGAAATAGTTCTTTAAAATTTAGCCATATATTAAGAGGTATTTAGATAAAGAGAATGTCGACTATCAGTGATAATAATTTGGGAAATGATAACACTGCTGGAAGCAGTGGGACAGGTGGAGATTGTAATAGTAGATTAAGTAAACAGCATTATTCCACAAATGTTCTTCATAGGATTAGTGGTACACTCGAAGATAAAAATAATGATTATCTGTGCCCTATTTGTTTTGAGGTTATCGATGAAGCTCATATCACACGTTGTGGTCATACATTTTGTTATCGTTGTATAGTGAAATCTCTAGAAGCCAATGGGCGTTGTCCCAAATGCAGTTATACGTTAACACAACAAGATATTTTCCCAAACTTTTTGTTACATGAATTAATATCAAAATATAAGACTAGAATTAAGGGTCTTAGTGAGCTAGGATCTTCTTATGCAACTGATGGTAGGCACAGAGGTATAGGTACAGATTTATGTTTACCACCCTATGACGGATTGAAAGACATTGTAGCAGCTGAAAGTGCTAATTTAACATTACCTGATATAAACGTAATGTTAGAAGTATTAACACAAAAAAAACATTTGCTTGAAGCAGAAACTTGTGCAGCACAAAATAAGTTATTGCATGAGTTTTTGAAGCATTTATTGCAACAAAAGGAAGAACAAAAAAATCAGTTACAAAAAGAAATAACATTGATTAAGAGAGATACAGAAGAAGTCGAAAATATTTTAAGGGATGTTCAAAGTAAATGTCCAAAAATGGAAGACTTAAAGAAATCAAGTGAGAACGATACCGCACAGGTCTCTGCTATTAAAAGAGAGATGATTGGACTTATAGACATAATAGATTCGAATATGGTAAAGCCAATAGATAAAACAGGATCATCTGGGAATGATACATTTGTTAATCCTCCAGGAAGTCAGAAGCAAAATGAATATACACCTGGTTCTACTTTGGCCCTACGCAGAAAGAGAATGCATGCTCATTTCGACGATTTTGTGCAATGTTACTTTGATTCCCGTGCCAAAGAGCTACACCTTGGACATAAAGCTGAAGGACAGAATGATGCATGGCATGGTTCAAGTTCAGGATTGGATGTTTTCAGAGAGAATCTTGTTAAATTTTTAAAGTATAATTCATTACGCCCATTGGCAACTTTAAATTACTCATCGGATATTTTTAATAATTCTACTATTGTTTCAAGTATAGAATTTGATAAAGACAATGAATTCTTTGCAATAGCCGGAGTCACAAAACGTATAAAAGTATTTGATTACAGCGCCGTAATTAGGGATACTGTAGACATTCACTATCCATGTGTAGAAATGACTTCTAGCTCTAAGATATCATGCGTTTCATGGAATTCTTTCCACAAGGGAATGTTAGCATCATCTGATTATGAAGGAACTGTAACAGTCTGGGATGCTGCAACGGGTCAAAGAACAAAAGCATTTCAAGAACACGAGAAAAGGTGCTGGTCTGTCGACTTCAATGATGTAGACACTAGATTGATAGCATCAGGCTCAGATGATACCAGAGTTAAATTATGGTCCTTGAATAACGATCATTCCGTTGCTTCTTTAGAAGCAAAAGCTAATGTATGCTGTGTTAAGTTTAATCCACGTAGTTCATGTCATTTGGCATTTGGATCTGCAGATCATTGTGTCCATTATTATGATTTGCGTAACATGAATGGAGCATTATGCATATTTAAAGGACATCGTAAAGCCGTTTCGTACGTAAAGTTCATTAACAAGGAAGAGATAGTATCGGCAAGCACTGATTCACAATTGAAAATGTGGAACATTAATAATCCACATTGTTTGCGATCGTTTGTCGGACATGTTAACGAGAAGAATTTCGTAGGTCTTGCCACCGACGGTCATTATGTAGCATGTGGATCTGAAAACAATGCATTATATGTATATTACAAAGGACTCACCAAACAATTATTCTCTTATAAATTCGATGCTGGTCGAAGTATACTAGAAATGCAAGAAAGAAGAGAAGAGGACCTAAATGAATTTGTGTCTGCAGTTTGTTGGAGACAAATGTCTAATGTTGTAGTGGCTGCCAATTCTCAAGGGATTATTAAAATATTGGAACTTGTTTGAAGATAATCTTAACATAATGCATATACTGCTATGCAAACAAACACACATATATATGAATATGAAATCTGTTCGATATAATTAAAATTTATCCATTTCACTGCTCAGACATAAAACAACAACGAGACGTAAACATTTATTCTAAGTGTTATAGTAATTTGTTAGGAGGCAAATTGTAAAAAAAGAAAGTATCAAATACCAGAAAATCTAAATTATTAGAGACTGAATTATTTGTGAGAATACTCTCAGCATTAAGCAGCACAAATATTATCCTGTAATTACATTTGTATGAAAATTAGTACTGTTGCTTTATTATTATTTTATCTTATGGATATTTTTTAATTATATCGAACA